CACTATGAGCTGCTCCCCTACGGCCAAACTCTTAATTCGGACCTGTACTGTCAACAATTGGACCGTCTGAAGGAATCAATCGCCCAGAAGCGGCCAGCTTTGGCCAATAAGAGAGGAATTGTGTTCCATCAGGACAACGCTAGGCCACACACATCGATAGTGACTCGCCAGAAGCTCCGGGAGCTTGGTTGGGAGGTTCTTATGCATCCACCTTATAATTCGGACCTGGCACCAAGTGATTACCACCTGTTCATGTCTATCGCGAATGATTTTGCTGGTGAAAAATTCGCTTCAAGAGAAGCTTGTGAAAATCGACTGTCCCAGTTTTTTGCCAATAGGGACAAGGGTTTCTATGAGAGAGGCATAATGGAATTACCTTCAATATAGCAACAAGTTATCGAACGGTGTATATTTGACCTAAATCGGATCATTCTAACTATGCTAAATAAAGCCTTCAATTTCATGCAAAAATAATGGATTTCTTTTTACTACACCTTATATTTGATCTACTTTTTAACATGTTTGTCCACCATTTTGGATCCGCCATTTTTAATTTCGAAAATCTGAGATCAGATTCGTAATTAGCGACTCAAAAAACACTAGATACTAAGTTTCATACAAATACTATAATTTTCTAAAATTCGTCCGCTATATTAGATCCGCCATTTTGAATTTTGAAAATCTGAATCCGGATTCGTAATCAGCGACCCAAGAAACTCTTAGATAACAAGTTTCATGGAAATCTGATAATTTTTTAAAAATTCGTCCGTCATATTGGATCCGCCATTTTGAATTTTGAAAATCTGATTCCGGATTCGTAATCAGCGACCCAAGAAATCTGTAGATACCAAGTTTCATAGAAATCTGACAATTTTTTAAAAATTCGTCCGCCATATTGGAACCGCCATTTTGAATTTTAAAAACCTGCCTCCGGATTCAAAATCAGCCACCTCAAAAACCCCTTAGATCTTATTTTCAGTTTATTAATGATTGTTGGTTAGTCAATTACATTTATTGTATAAAAGGGCAGTATTTTTGTTGTTTGTTTATTTATAAAATACATTTCCTTAACAATAGAAATGTTTTCAAAATTTTTTTATGACAACTGATGTTCTGCATAACTGATAATGTGCTTTTTACTATACAGATGTGTTGAAAACTATGTAAAAAATATAAAAAACTAAGGGCAAAAAGGTGTCCAGTACACTATGCCGCAAAGGGTTAATATTTGACTTTAAAACTGATTAGATATTGTAATAAAAATATTAATAAGTAATTAAGAATGTTTTGAATGTTTTAAAAGCCTATAACATAAAAATAACATGGAATTTATTTAAAAGACTCGATTTGCTGTCAGCGTTAGTAAAAAAGTGATTGTTGACGAAGGGTTAAAGAACGTAATATGAACGTGCACTGGTAACCAGTATAATACTATTATTTAGGGAATAATAAATATTAACAAGTGTGGAGTAGTTGCGAGCAACGTTACTTTGCTCTTGGCTGATTGCCTATTGTTGAGTAGCGGGTAAAAGTCTTGACGTCTTTATCAAACTTATCCGCCACATCATGGATAATCATCAAGGTTGGATACTAACTAGTTAAAAAGTTAAAAGTTAAAAAGTTAAATAGCTTTAACTTAACTTACAAAGGAAATACCAGGTGACTGCTCCGGGAATTTTGATGCGCTTTTTACAGGCTGTTCTTGGGCGAAAAAAAAACGAGACGTGTCCGACCATTTCAGCCAATGGGCTATGACTCTTTAAAAATCGATTTCGAAGAAATCGGCGTGTCAAGGAGCTTCGGGAGTGGGGAGACCTCCAACATCTGGCCAGGGCCATTGGACTCACCAGGAGGCACGCCCGTCAGTGCCTCTTCCTCAGATGGGATCTCCACCTGAGGGGGACGACGGGCCGCTCCGGCAGTCGGGTCGCCGAGGCTATCCGGCCCTGTCTACAGGAGTGGGTAGACAGGACCCACGGCGAGCTGTCTTTCCAGACAACGCAGGTACTCACCGCAACCGGGCACGGTTGCTGTGAGTACCTGCACAGGATAGATAGGGAGCTTAACTCCCACTGTCACCACTGTGGTGCCGATGTGGACTCGGCGCAGCACACCCTGGAGAAGTGTCCCTCCTGAGTGGCAGAGCGCCGGGTTCTAGTGGGGTGGTGGGGGCGGACCTCTCTCCCCCGGCCCTTGTCAGGGCCATGCTTGGGGGAGTTGAGGGCTGGTCCGCAGTTACTTCCTTCTGCGACGACGTCATGTCGCAGAAGGAGGGAAGGGTGAGGTGGGGCGAGGCGGCCCCCCGGGATGGGGAGAGGCGGCCAATAAGGAGAAGGGCGCCTCTTCCACCTGCTTACACGCGCGGAATAGAATGGCGGCGCACCAGTGAGCGGGGAGGGGACATCACTGTTCGTGTTCCCTCCCCCGGGGTACCTGCGGCTGCGTCGACACCTCCCACACGACCGGGCCCTTCCGGCGATAATCGTCGGAGGACCCGCCGGGTGGATGATTACAGGAGGCGTCTTATTGTGGGGAGAAGACGTGCCATACGCTTAAGGCGCGAATCCCCCCCTCCCCGTGACTAGAAGTCAAACCATGCGCCCCCGTGAGGGGAGTGAAGTGGCCCACCTGCAGAGGCCGCTTGCTCCCCTCCTAGAGACAGGGGAGACCTGACCGTGAGGTGGAGAGACATGCTGCCCCCCCCCCCCCCC